GGTCACCCATGCTGTTGTCAGCATGTTTTTTACTCATTTTATAATGTTCTGTGCATGCGCAGAAGAATTGACAGGCAACTGTGCATGCGCAAGCAATGCACGGCGGGGATGCACCCAAGCGAAGCAAGCAGCACGTGAAGCGAACCAGCAGTAACACTGGCAGCAACCCACCCCTGGCTTATACTATAGTCATAGTATACTTACTGGCAGCTGGCATTTTAGAAATTTTGCTCAAAAGAGAAATGGGAAAAGTAAGTAAGTAAATAAAGAAATAAAAATGCCAAATGCCAAGAATTACCTAAAGCTTCAATAATAAATACAGTACAGTTTCAAATGGCAATTTTTGGAAAATCAGCAAATATAACCTGTGCATGGCCAGGAATAGTCAATAGCGTTAAAAAGCCATCTGAGTTTGCAAAACAATTGTGGCACAGTATAGTTATATTCTCCATTCTTAGTCCAACTTGGGTTCTGAACTAATGTGAATGTTCTTTATTCCAATTAAATGGATTTGGGGAACTTTCAGATTTGGTTTTTATTGTGCACTTCCCCTGCTTCGTATCACAGCTCTTTCAGGTCATTGGCAGATTTTAAATTGTGTCTGTATTAAGGACAAATGGTTATTTTAAGAGAGGAATTCTTTTTTCCTCCCAGTTGTCCCTGAACTTATAAAAGAAACATGAGTATATTGCATAACAACCCATCCTATTCTGGTTTTGCCTGTGTCCTTCTACTGCCAAAATCAGGGGGGGGGGGTTAAAAACATTTCTATAATCTCTGCTGGCTGGCAATATTTCAACGAATTGGATATACCCATTGATCTCAGGTTCTCCTTGGCTCTGTCTCATGTAATTTTAGCGGTCCTGACAGAACACTTTAACTCCTAAATGGGCTATATACAATCCAGCTCCTTTCCCATGGCCTCTGTTCTTTTTGCAAAGGGCCTGGTCCCCTCCCCACCAAGGCTGTCGTGTGTTTGTGTGTATGTGAGAGAGAGAGGGGGGGGAGGGTTGAGAAGGAAATAATGATGAGTAGAGCGTACTGTGTTATTGATTGAAGATAGCAGGAAGTGGGGGGATGTCTCATAAAAGAGACACAATTTGGATTATATGGTTGCAATTGCCATCTTGACTTTTTAATATTTTTTTTGGCAACCCTCTCCTTGCCCAGGATGTCCCTGGAAGGCAAAGGAGTGTGAGGACACCAGGGTTAGAACCTGCTGCCTCAACATTGTCAACATTTGAACAATGGGGCATTGAATGACATTAGGACTTGCTGCCTCAACATTAGAATGAGAGATAAACTTCACAAAGATTAGTAAATGGGATGGAGAGGGGAAAAAAAACCTTAAGTTTTCATAACTCAATGGGCAGCAAGATATTCATCCTTGATCCTACAGCTTGGAGCCTTGAGGTAGGGTAAGTTGTGGGAAGTCTCCAAAATCAATCCTGTTTCTTTTTCTTCCTTCCCATCCTGTTCCAGCAGATTCTTTCTCTGGGAGAGGAAGCACAGGTTGTAAAGAGAGGCATATGCCAGTGTGCACACGAACTAGAGAGAATTAGATGTGATGCACATCCCTTCTGCCCCGTTTCCTAGCTGGGTCTTCCCATCTCTTTTGTGAACCCGTTCTTATTGTTTGTAAATATACACACATAAAAAAATACACACACAAACACACACACACACACACACAGACACACAGACACATGCATAAATCCTGGTAATCTCTTTCCTCATGTATAGATGATCACTCAAATTCTTTTGCTGCCGAGAGCTGAGTGGTAGTGTCTTAAGTATGGATAAAATCATCGACAAGGTCTTATCAAGAAAAGTGACTTTGGCTACCTTGGGGTACAATCGGTGATACCATTTCTATGCTATAAATACGGATACATTCTGTAATCATTTTGCTAAGAAAAAGCTCACACATCCATCGTTGTAAGAGAACCTGCAATTATTTCAGGTTTTCAGACTACGGTCATCAGGAGATGGAGCTATCCAAATCAGAGGCATCTGAGTTGAGTTTTAGACACGTAGTCCAAGCCAGGATATTAAATGTACAGGTAGTCCTTGCTTAATGATCATAACTGAGCCCAGAATTTCTACTTAAGTTGTTGCAGTTGTTAAGTGGGTCACTGTGCGACTGGATTTTTTACGACTGTTTTTACAAGCAAATTATGTGGTCATTAAGCAAATCCTAGGTGAATTTATTTTTTTTGCCAGGATGTAGGAAAAAGTTAGCAAATTGGGGTCATATGACTGTGGGACATTGCAACCAGTCATAAATGCGAATCAGTTGCCAAGCTGCCAAGAAATGTGATCACATGTCCATAGGGAGGCGGGTCTATGTACATTAGTTGTAATTTAAGGATGGGTTGTAAGTAACTTCGTGGGTGGTCCGTTGTAACATCAAATGGTCATTAAGTGACTTGTCATAAAATGAGGACTGCCTATGGAGGTAGTTCTCAACTTATGACCACAATTGAGCCCAACATTTCAGTTGTTAAGTGAGATGATTATTAAGTGAGTTTTGTCCAATGTTATGAACCGTCTTGCCACAGTTGTTAACTGAATCCCTGCAATTGCCTAGAATCGTGATGGCAAGTTTATGGCACGCGTGCCACAGGTGGCTCACGGAGCCCTCACTGAGGGCACACGAGCCGTCGCCCCAGCTCAGTTCTGCCGCGCATGTGCGCCTCCCACCGGCCAACTTGATTTTGGATCTCTGCCGCGCATGTGCAGAGGGCATGCATGTGCGTAAGCACGGGGTAGGTGGATCACAGGGGGGGGTGTTGCATGCACATGTGCAGGGGCAGGGTGCACATGCATGGGGGGCGCATGCATGCATTGCATTATGGGTGTGCACGGCCACTTTTGGCCCTTGACACCAAAAGGGTTAACCATCACTGGCCTAGATAGTAACAAGATTGTAAAGTGAATCTGGCTTCCCCATTGACTTTGCTTGTCAGGTCACAGAAAGTGATCACATGACACACACACACCCCCAGGACACTGCAACCATCATAAATATGAGCCAGTCGCCAAACATCCAAATTCTGATCACATGAGCATGGGGATCCTGCAACAATCTAAGTGTGAAAAAAGACCCTAAGACACTTTTTTCAGTGCCATTTTAACTTTGAACAGTCACTAAATGAATTATTGTAAATGGAGGACTACCTGTATGGATGAAATTAATGACCTTATCTTTAGGAATTTAAGGATAGATTTAAGTGTTTGCCAGGAATGAGGAAAGATGGGGTAAGGGTATAAAAGTGGGCAATGAAAAGCAAGGCTGTATGATTGAACTATGAGCCCAGATCGGTGTGTTGTGAAGGATGGCACCCTTAGAATCTGTGTTGAAAAGTAGTAGATGGTATATAAATTTCTGCATAAGCAGGGTTAAGGACAATACAATGATTTGTACAAAGGTTACAGCCGTGAAAGGGACTGCAGAAAGTGGCATATACAATGAAAAAATGAGACAAAACAGACAGTTTACCTGCAAAATAATTCATTATATTTATGAATCCATTAACAAGAAAATTTCCAGTATTAACAAGGAAAGGCTGGTTCCTGGATTCTGGGAATTGAAATCCATAGGTTGTAAGATTGCTATAACAGGAGTTGTGCACCTCTGTGTTAGAATATGTCTGAAGAGATGACACTGTTTGGGAAACAGTCCATTTAGAGTCCACCATCTTTTTTAAAAGATACCAAGCATGCTTTGATTTAGGAATGGTTAATTCTTTTTACTGTCCCTCTCAAAAAAATCATGGAACTATTTAATATCCTTTGATTGCCAGAATTCATTTTCACACTTGCAGAAATCCATCTGGGACTTTCCCCCTTAGTTAAAAATCTTTGAACGTTTGTCAATCTTCAGTTGGTTTTAGAGTTTTTATATGCAAATCTTTCTGGAAGACACAGCCTTTCTATTTTCTACATAGTTAAATGTTCTGTCCCCCCTTCTCCACTTGTTAACAGATGGCAGGCAGACAAATTTAAAAGGACTCTCTTTATCAGTTCTCAGCTCAAACTGGCTGCGAGCCCAAAAATAACCTAAACAAAGCCGCAGACTAGATAACAGAATACAAAAC